TCCACTGCTTTTGCCAAAATGAGGTGGGCGGCGTCCATTTCTCTTACTCCCACCGTAAATTCTCTGGAAGGCACCCACACCAATAACCCCCCCCTCCCCAAATATATTTTCCTTGCCATGGAAGCTGCAATGCATGATAGAAGATACAAGATAAAAATTTGGCACAACATTAATACTATCAGATATATGCCACCAAGAGATTATCATATAGAATAATAAATCATTCTCATTGGAATATGAAATCCCAGTAATAAGATAATCTCTAAGCTTTGAATTAACTTTGAAGGATTCCAATTATTAGAAAATTAATTTACTTGATCTGTAAAGGCATCTAGAGTAAAATTAATCATTCCAGTACAACATAGTACCAGTCTGGATCATATGGAGCCAATTCTTTGAGTACACCTGTTTTCACAATATCAGTCCACTCGGGAAGCTCCATCTGTTTAGGAAAAATGATTAAATAATTAAATAATATAGAAGAAATAAAACCACAATTACTTTTTGTTGTTTTGAGAGTTCTGATCTTGTTCCTGTTTTGAGTTAGGGAGAACAGGTGTCCTAAAAGGGGCAAAAGATACATCATAACCAAATGAAATTTTTACAACTTACTTGTTCTGTTCTTCATATATATTGTTTTCGGTATTTCAGAAGCTTATAACAATCAAAGCTAAAAAAAAAAGATCTATTGCTCCAAAGCTGGAGCCTATCTAATTCATTTTTGTTCAAATTTTCAATATAAGTGTCATTTTGCCTATGCTAAAGTCCATCTTTTAAATATGGACAAGCCACGAACACACAGCCAATTGTTATCCATCCTCCAGAAAATAATCAAATTCACAGAATACATTGATAATATAGGTTACAGCACGCCACATTATAGCCATCAAAAATTGGCGACCATAAGTTGTTTCATTGGTATAACCAACAAACCCGAAGTAACATTATTAGAGAACCAATCTTTTGTTGTTCCTCCTTAGCTCAATCAAAAAAAATTGTAACACAGAGGCCTTTGTAACAATACCAAGAAAGATCTTTTTGGATGCATTTTGGGATGCTAATACCGGAAACAAATTAGGCTCCTCTACAGCCCTCTCCACTGTATACACTTTCTCTAAGATGCAGAAGGCCATTTCCAGATGCTATACTGGTAGCCATTGCTTCTGCTAAACAAAAGTGTAATTCCATAATTAATAAGAGGCAATTGACTAAGTAAACNCCTCTCCACTGTATACACTTTCTCTAAGAGGCAGAAGGCCATTTCCAGATGCTATACAGTTAGCCATTGCTTCTGCTAAACAAAAGTGTAATTCCATAATTTATAAGAGGCAATTGACTAAGTAAACGTTCTCATGAATAACTATCTGAGTTATATTATCAATATAACACCACAATGTTTTGTATACCATGCTTTTGCATCATTAAGAGAAACTTAATAATGACTTTGGAGGATGGTTGAATTATGACCTGATGCTTCCCTTGCTTCTCTGCATTGTACATGCTCTTAAAAGCATTATTGAAGACACTAACTCTTACCATTTTTGCTTAAAGATCATGCTGCAATATGATTAAGAATAAGGTATTAGATATCCTCATTCTGATTAACTTAATTTAGAAACAAATCCTCAATGACAATCCAATGAAATATTAACAGAATATAAACAAATGCACCAGGTTTTGGAAAGTATTAGACGATCTTCCACCCTATAGATCCTAATATATATCTTTCCTTTTTTGCTAGCTCCAAAATAAACTATTTGTCCAACCAAATACACAGTGCAAGAAGAAATCTCATCATTGTTTTCTATGGAACTGTGCAAGTAATATTTGTTGTAAATAAGACAATTGATAAAAAGACATACGAAATCAAGTTAGGCTAGGTTGAATGTAAAAATAAGAAATGTAAAAGGACTATTGGAAGTTATCAAACCTTCTGCAGAATTGGCCATAAATACTTTATTCTTCACAAGTATGATTATTCACAAGTGTAAGAGTCAATGAGGATGGACGAAGTATTCATT